CCACCAGATTCGGGCAATGCTCCGAAGACATCGATGGTCAAACGCCGAAAGCTTTTTGACGTCCTCGGTGCGCAGCGGCCAGGTTTCCGACCCATATAGTAATATGGAGCGCACCGCAACATTGTAAACTCGACCCTTGACGGAGAAGCTGATGTCACGCCTACGCCACAGGTGACGTAGGTTAGCAAAAGCTGCTCTGGCCTTCCCAATCCGGATGGAAATATCATCTTCCGCGAGACCACCGGGACTGATACAGCTGCCCAGGTAAACAAATTTGTTTACTACCCCAATCGGTTCATCCGCAAGCATGAGGCTAGGGTTCGAGCTCACCCAATCTTGCAGTAGCACTTTACACTTTGCAGGTGTGAAGCGCGTGTCGAACCGCGAGCGTCGCGTCCACTGATGTTTTGGACATCCCTAGATTAACATCTCGATTAGTTGTGATCAGATTGATGCAGTACATATCCAACCTTTAACCCCAGACTTTACACTTTGCAGGTGTGAAGCGCGTGTCGAACCGCGAGTTCAGCGTCCACTGATGTTATGGACATCCCTAGATTAACATCTCGATTAGTTGTGATCAGATTGATGCAGTACATATCCAACCTTGCTTTTAACCCTAGTTTATTTGCACAGTTACAAGTAGTGAGTAGAATGCGTGCGAGTCTAGTGAATAAATATCATCCAACTCGGCTCAGTAATCTAAAAAAAATTCAGTCCCACTAGAAAGTGTTTTGCATAGTTGGACGGGAAATAACGTGTGAAGTACATGTCTTTTTCTGTACGAATCTGAAAATCACTGTCGATATGTTGTTCGAACGACCTAACACTAAACCCCAGGTTTACTGGGCAAAAAGGGTCAGGTTTGAAATTGGAGCAACAAAAACCGCAGAAGTGGATAATCCAAATAAACAAAACCGCGCGTTTGCGAGTCACAGGTCACGTGACCTCCAAAAAAAACGACTAATAGCAAATTAATTTATTTGTCGAAAAACTGTATCAAAGAGCGCCCAACCCGATCTAAGCAACTGAAGATAGTCCCTTAAAAAATTTGGTTGGATACCGTAAAACCCAATCGCATCGGATCTTTTGCCCCTTGTTGAAAATTCCCAACAAGATTGTCTAGCTCAAACACCGACCAAAGTTCGCGGGCTACTGACGTTTTCTTCTCTTCCAAACATAAATGGTGTTCAAAATTTTCCAACTTAATCATTCATTTTGCTTTGTAGAAACTCCAAAATGGTTTCCACAGAAGCGAACAAAATTGCAGACAGGCCACACCCATATTGAATCGATTCTCATTATATGTTCCTTGTCATCATCCTCACCATAATGAACGATTCCATACAAATGTAGTATCAAGAATTGATGGGAAGTATCCTAAACAAACAAGGCGAGAGCACGAGCAAATGAAATGACGTTGATAAAACAGTACTCAAACGAATATGCTTGGTGAGCCTGTGAATTAAGGGAGTTTTCAGCCGCAAAGATTTCGTGAGGATGTTGATAACTGATTGCATTCCAGCTGCAACACGGCAGCATCGCGGCTAACACTACTGTGCACCTAACCCTAAAAAACTAAGCCAACTAAGTCCAGTGCATCACGGCCAGCGGTATACAAAGTGATTACCTTAATTCCAGTGCTTACCCCACTTGGTTTAACCTCACCAGAATGGTTGGCGCACGACAGAACGACCAATCAAACAAGACTGATGTGCATAGGAAATCATGCACCATGTGACGTCAGAAAAACTGTCATGTGATTTCAACGCACTCCAATTTCTTCGGCCGCAAACCCAAGGTACAATGATCTGACTTCATGGTAGTGAGTTTTTAATACGATTTTTTCAGGGGACGTAATACGCAGTACCCCATACGACGATTGTTGACGCAGTGTAATATGGTTGTTCTAAACTTAAATACTTTTTGCTGGACGAGTTACATGAAAATTCGCTTTGGTATCAACTTGCACCTTGACGCATCCTCAACCGGGTGGTATATGCTCATGTGGCCGTGACTTTCGCAATCCGATCATATGCTTGCCTTGAACAGTCGGTCAAAATTTCAGGCTCATGGATTGCAACTTGTCTGGTTCTCTACTAGGAACTATAACTACTCCAATAAAAGATTTCGAGTAGTTAACAACAGCTAGATAAAAATGTAATTCAGCGGCTAGTTACGCAGAGGATTATATCTGTTAGAAAGCGGATGACATGTCTGTTGTTTTGCATACTATATAAAAGGCAAACTATCCAGTTCAGCAGAGCAGCTTTATAAACCGTATACTGAGAGGACGTTTGTCCCAGCAGCTACAGTTTTGGTCACCGGAAATGTGAAAGCGGGCGGATAGAGCTGGAGGCGATGGTATAATCGGTTAGTTCGAGAAACTGGGAAGTTAAGCGTTGAAGATGATAGCTTTGATGCACAACCGCCAGTACCTGTGTACTTGGGCCATGTCAAATAACCATTGGTGAGTTGAGTCCCGGGGTTCCCACTCAGAAAGGCGGCAGCTGTCAACATATCTGAATTAACGGGTTAGTATTTGCATGCTTTGTTTGCAGTTCCATCTCTCGGTCACTACCATTTAGCAAATAAGTGGGTGAAAAAACTCCGCGAGTTAGACGATACTCTGGCATACGGAGCATATCTCCTAACCGGTGCAACCAATGAAGCGTGATGGGGAGTACCTTTGCTTTAAAAACATCTGACGTATCTACATGTTGCCAATCTGAAGTCCCCAACAAACCCGGTCAACGCTTCGGAGACATCTTCCGTAAGTCCGTGTTTCTGATCCATAAAGCAGTAAAGATCGCACTGCGACAATATGTACTCTGAACTTGATAGATAAATTGTCATACCGACGCTTAGGTGTCGGCGTTTCAAATGGATAAGTTGACTCCAGATGGAATAGAGGAGATCGGTCAACGTCATTCCGTTTTAGAACACACGCAAGGTTCTCATGGGATAAATGTTGCCATATGCTCCTCGCCACAAAATTTAAACATTTTTGGTGATCCCTGAGGGTATTTCCTATAGAGCTAGAACATGACGTTAGTCTACGGATCGGTTAACAAGCTGAATGAATTCGTGGAAATCGAAATTGAGGAAGATACAACGACTGAAGCACCAGTCCCCCGAGAACCAGAAGGGCACGCCTTAGAATTTTGCAAGCAATCTTCGCACCCTTTATTCGAATACCTCAGGTCGGGATAGGGCGTAGAACACGCTGTGCAGAGGCAACCTGACAACTAATGGAGTTCGTCAAGCTTATTCCCTCTCCTCTATTTTCGTCAGCTTTGTCGTCGACGTCATCATGGAGCGCACACTTCAAGGGACCATGAACTCAGACATCAAAATCACGTCTGGAAAGGGATTAATACACTTGGATTGCGCCAACGACATTGTTTAGTTGTTTGGCGATCACTCCTCCGCGCAAGGTACTTTAACCAGAATATCGAGAGTAGTCCCGAATTTCGACATGCGTTTCGGACCTTTAAAGTGTTAAGTCTTCAAGAATTGTCATTCCTTAGTGCTACGTTGAAACTTCTGAATGGAAAGATTGGGCTTGCTGATCGACTCACCTATATTGGCAGATGAATATAGGCGCGGATGATCAAGGTGCGAACAGCGTTTATCAACTTGTATCAATAATGACTTAAGGACGGAATTTTGCTGACGCCAGAGAGCCGTGTAAGTAAGATGACTGTAACACCAGTGTTACTCTATACTTGTGAGACTGGGCCTCTCCGATCCAAGGACCCCGGGCGCCTTGAAGCGTGTGATCAAAGGCGCCTCCGTAGCATAGCAAAAGTTACAGATGCGTAAGTGGGTATAGGATAACAAATCCGATTCGTCAGATCAGGTGATGTGAAATGAAAATGGCTACAGTCATACTGCGATCTTCACAACTTTCTGGATTGGGCCCATGTGATCCCGCTTTCATTTTGAAAAATGGCGGCCCTGATGAATATCACTTTTGATGCTGAAATCAAGAGTGCTCTCCGTAGGACTTCACGTGCCCATGAACGTGCAAGGATAAACACGTTCGGAACATATTTGATAGCACCATAAAAAAGCATGGCTGACTGAGTCGAAAGAACCTTTCCAGGTGTTCGAGGAAACTATCCAAGGATTCGGTTAATCCACCGACGAACTGGACGGAACCGTGCGTGGTTTTCACTAGTGTGTGCCTAAAAGTGTACGTGAGAAGCTACCCGTAAAAATCATAGGCGCGACGGTAATTAGCCTGATATTCCAATGATTTTAACGTTAGTAGCGATAGTAGACACTTGATATTCCTCCGATACTTGATTCGTCTTCCGAATTCCCTAAACGAATTTCGCCAGATTGCGAACAGATTTTTCTCCTCCATCTCGGAAAAAGACAAAGAAGAAGGGTGTTCTACGCTCAAACCAGCTCGTCGATAGGACTTTCGTATGCCGACTGGCATCCAGCCGACAGCAAATTCGCTTTCTTCACGAACGGCTGCGACAAAACGCACGCGGCGTATTTTACAAATCACCGCTGAATGCAATCCGATTTCTAAGCTCGGCGAACAGACCAGCAGTCAAGCAGCGCACCGGAGCTACCTATATTCCACATCACCAACAGACGGAGAAAAGATAGTCAGGAATGGATGCTTCGTTCGTCTTTGGAATATTGGTTTCATTCTTGATCCGATATTCGGATGAAGCTGACCACTTCATACACCAGTGAGAAGCTGGTGGTGCGTTGATCATTATGCTGATCACCTCAGGATGTTTCGCCCATCGAATCAGACTTGGAATGAAATTTTGAGCCGGCTTTCTCTGTGGTGACTTCGCTGACTGGCTATATTCTTCCCCTAGTGTCACAAATAAGCTGGAACAGAGTAAGATTATTTTCAATAGCCAACTTTTCCACTTCTTGGCTTAACCTAGGCTGCTACTTCTCACGATCATCTATCTTAAAGACCCACGGGTCAGACGTCGTTTTAGAGATAGTTACTTCATGAAATTGTCGGCCCGGTGAGATCACCCTCCTAGCCTCGATCAACAAGATGAATTGCTTCAACAGCCAAATTTCGTTAAGCCATGTGTTTGTTCTGGGATGCACATAGTTTGACACTGAATTCACAGCGTTTCGAATTTAAATAAGTTTCTATGAGGTCTACCAGTTTGTTTCGTGTTTATTGGTTGTCTACACATCTGCTGCTGGGGCTCGAGATAACCCAGTGATTAAGGCGCCAGCTTAAGGAACGTGGTTCGAACCCAACCTATGAATCTCGACTCCTCGGGCAATTTGGCAGCATCCCAGCCCTTATGGCTCTATTCGTTGGGATGGCAGCTAGGCACCGAAAGGGTGCTACAGCTCAGTTATTTGATTTTCTTCCTCCATCTTCTGCTGATAGACTTTCCTGACGATAGTGAAAATCATACTGATGGACGGAGTTCCTCTTGGTTGCCCGGAAAAGAACTGCAACACAGTTAGGTACCGGTTCCGAAATAAGCGAAAATCTTGACCACAAGATCGCCATCCATGCACAGTTGCTGAGTTCTCGATCCGTTGGGGTTAGGAGGGTGCCAGGTAATATGGGGTTCACGTTTGTGTGCGATAAATAAATGGCGATCAGTGAACAGTTGTAGGGTATGACAGCTGTTGTTTGGGGAAACTCACACCATTGGGAGATAGCAAAGAGCGCTTTCTATGGTCGTCCCTTTCTAGACTGTCCTTCCTCAAGAGAGGACAGCATGGCGCGACGGTAATTAGCCTGATATTCCAATGATTTTAACGTTAGTAGCGATAGTAGACACTTGATATTCCTCCGATACTTGATTCGTCTTCCGAATTCCCTAAACGAATTTCGCCAGATTGCGAACAGATTTTTCTCCTCCATCTCGGAAAAAGACAAAGAAGAAGGGTGTTCTACGCTCAAACCAGCTCGTCGATAGGACTTTCGTATGCCGACTGGCATCCAGCCGACAGCAAATTCGCTTTCTTCACGAACGGCTGCGACAAAACGCACGCGGCGTATTTTACAAATCACCGCTGAATGCAATCCGATTTCTAAGCTCGGCGAACAGACCAGCAGTCAAGCAGCGCACCGGAGCTACCTATATTCCACATCACCAACAGACGGAGAAAAGATAGTCAGGAATGGATGCTTCGTTCGTCTTTGGAATATTGGTTTCATTCTTGATCCGATATTCGGATGAAGCTGACCACTTCATACACCAGTGAGAAGCTGGTGGTGCGTTGATCATTATGCTGATCACCTCAGGATGTTTCGCCCATCGAATCAGACTTGGAATGAAATTTTGAGCCGGCTTTCTCTGTGGTGACTTCGCTGACTGGCTATATTCTTCCCCTAGTGTCACAAATAAGCTGGAACAGAGTAAGATTATTTTCAATAGCCAACTTTTCCACTTCTTGGCTTAACCTAGGCTGCTACTTCTCACGATCATCTATCTTAAAGACCCACGGGTCAGACGTCGTTTTAGAGATAGTTACTTCATGAAATTGTCGGCCCGGTGAGATCACCCTCCTAGCCTCGATCAACAAGATGAATTGCTTCAACAGCCAAATTTCGTTAAGCCATATGTTTGTTCTGGGATGCACATAGTTTGACATTGAATTCACAGCGTTTCGAATTTAAATAAGTATCTATGAGGTCTACCAGTTTGTTTCGTGTTTATTGGTTGTCTACACATCTGCTGCTGGGGCTCGAGATAACCCAGTGATTAAGGCGCCAGCTTAAGGAACGTGGTTCAAACCCAACCTATGAATCTCGACTCCTCGGGCAATTTGGCAGCATCCCAGCCCTTATGGCTCTATTCGTTGGGATGGCAGCTAGGCACCGAAAGGGTGCTACAGCTCAGTTATTTGATTTTCTTCCTCCATCTTCTGCTGATAGACTTTCCTGACGATAGTGAAAATCATACTGATGGACGGAGTTCCTCTTGGTTGCCCGGAAAAGAACTGCAACACAGTTAGGTACCGGTTCCGAAATAAGCGAAAATCTTGACCACAAGATCGCCATCCATGCACAGTTGCTGAGTTCTCGATCCGTTGGGGTTAGGAGGGTGCCAGGTAATATGGGGTTCACGTTTGTGTGCGATAAATAAATGGCGATCAGTGAACAGTTGTAGGGTATGACAGCTGTTGTTTGGGGAAACTCACACCATTGGGAGATAGCAAAGAGCGCTTTCTATGGTCGTCCCTTTCTAGACTGTCCTTCCTCAAGAGAGGACAGCATGGCTGCTTCCTTGAATACGGAAATGCTGGTCATCTAGGGAAAACACGATACTGACTTCACACTCCCATGAAAATGTGCGGTATGACCACCCCCAACTCTACGCACTATGATTGCTCACTGTTCCTTGTTTGCTTATACCTCTTTGGTCTTCCTGACAGTTGCAGACTGGGTAACAAAGTTCAGCTAGATTACCCCGTGGAATGACCACCATATCAAAGTTACGGTCGTTGGTTGTGAAGAAGTCAAGTCCCTCACAGGGAACAGGGTTCTACTTCGGATCACTCCGACTTTCAACGACCGTCCTATCCAAAGGGCATAGCACACAGCCATGCAAAACTGTGATTTTAGAACTGAGAATTAAGTGCCTCAACTTTCGACTGCAATGTCAGACAGATGGACCCGAACCTACCGCTGCACACATACGTCCGCTTCCTTTGGCATTCCACTGTCTGAAATAAACCCAAAGGAGCGCGCCAATACAAAGGGACGAAGGTTTCGGACTGATCCAGTTGGGTGCGTTTCCACATATGTTCGTCGGAGTGATTTCGGAACTAGCCTCATTGGTCTGGCTCCGATACTGATTCAGACGAATGACTCAAATCTATTCTTCTAGTCACCCTTACGCAGTTTCAGTATCCGTTGGGGAATACAACTCATTTCCAGCGTACTCCCAATTTCCGGAATTTCCTTCAAATAAATAATTTATAACTCTCGAAATTCCGTGATTCAAATTATGTCCGATTGTTTTGTATTGTGCATATGCCGCTGGTTTGCTAGCAGGGCTTCTTTATGTTTCGTATCTCAACGCAGTTGTTGGCTGCAACTTTGCAGAGAATCCTTTCGTATGGATTCTACTCTTCTCCATAAACCGCTCAAGTGAATAATAACATTTATTCGTAATACAAAAATACAGTGAATTCTACTAATTGTATACATGATTGGTTACCTGTGCAGTAAATCGATCAGAGTCCGCATCGGATCGACAACCATGGATTTCGATACATATGCATAGATTTGCATAAACCACTGAGGACACAAAGAGATAATCCGAAATTCCTATAGTTTCTGCTCGATTTCCGAGACATGTGAGAATCAGCTTGTTAGCTTTACCAGCCTGATGATCATATTCACATAAACTGGACTGGAAAGAACATTGAGTTCATGATGGTGTTTGCCAAACACATTTGAGTGATGCACCAATGTGCCACAAATCCCTCCGAGAACAAGCCAGTTTACACAAAAATGGATAAAACACGGGCAGCGACAACGAACGCAAGCGGTGTGCAGATGAACAGCGGAAATCCACATATCGACCTACAACGAATAGCCAATGAGTGTAGCGCCGACAACGCATCGATCGTACGTTCCGACCAATCAAACCCAGGTCAGCTGTTTGTAGCGCTTAGTTACGATTTCGTTGGGTGAACTAGGTAGCAGTTGACGCCTTATGCCTACAAGCTAGTGGTAAAATCGATCTACCTAAGAATTTTGGAATGATGTGGAGGCGACTCAGCCTACTTAATGTTTGGACAATGGGTGGATAAGGGGGTGAATGAATTAATGATCCGTTTGGTTGGGTTGAGTCAACAAAAACTGACAGCTGTTTACACGCAGTAGGGTGAACAGCAACAAGGCGGTGACACACATTCAGGAAAACTACGAAGTCTTTCAAAACAAGCGGACACATCATATGAAAAGATGTGGTCCATTGGGGGACACAACACCACTAACCTTCTCTTGCTTGCTGTAGCACCCAGGTCGACTGAGAGTATTTCTCCACAGTTAGATACAGGAGCGCTAGCCAGTGTAAGAGTCGAAGGTTCGATGGCGGAAGAAGAAACAGTACTTGGTTGATCTGAAGACCTGAAAGTCAGACAAGGAATGTTTACAGTTTATGTGTGATTAAGGAGAGATGCTGAAAATTAAAAAAAAGTCACTTGAAGCAAACCGAACTGAAACTGTCAGGTGGAGAGATTCACAGATTGAAATAATAAGTGGACGGCGAGCCAGCACAATAGTTGTTGCGCACTATCGATGGGACATCTGGTGCTAACGATTTATAGTCACCAGTTTCACATGGTTCGATCAGTACATACAGATTTTCGATGCATCTGATCCGGATAATCAAACATGAAAAAGACTATGGTAGACTCTAAGTGACTAACTCCTGCTGCAGATTAGGGTTTATTCGGCATAAGACTTGCGTCAGTAAAACTATGGTTGTTCCAGGAGAAGCAGCTGGACCGCCACAACCGTCTCTCGGAAGTAACTGGTTGTACATACTGACAAGTTTTTGGCTGGATACCCTGGGCTCAACTCAATGAAAAAAGCACACTGAGGATGACATATTAATGAGGAGGTATTTGCTTCTAGCCCCTGGGAAGTTATTTGCAGAAAAGTTTGGGAAAAACTGGTCCTAAATGGTGGGGTTTGTTTTACACGGTAATTTTAAGGGGATAGTATTCCATATTCGAAACATATGAGACTATACTGGGAATTAGGAACGGCGCGAACCTAGTATCGCGTAATAGATGGCAGTGCACGAGTAACAATAGTTTCGTGCTCCTAAAAATGATAACTGAAAGTTGGCTTTATTGATGTTGTTCCGGGTGTAATAAACTGGTAAATCTTGCTTATAGAATACACGTACGACAGGTCAGATGACATTAAAATATCCCACATTGCTTGGATTCGTGACCGTTTCATGGTAAGTACCGGTTTCCCGTTTGGATTCACGGCTTACTGTTGCGCGACATCTGAACTAAGACGGAAATTTCCACAATATCTAAGCAATTATGCTCATATGATCGTATGATCGTCTATAATGCATGGGATACAATTATCTAGGAACTACTGAAGGAGAATTTGAATAACCTATTACAGTCATCTTGGTAAACAAGAGAAAAGTAATGTCAAATTTCTTAGGTCCCTCTGAATGTGCAACCCCCATCTTCCAAAGGAAAAGTGGTACAGAAAGATGACTCCTTTCGGGAAAACACCTAAAACATTGCTTGAAATTCCAGAAAAGAACGGAGCAGTCTGCACTGAAACCTGACGGATAAAATGTCTCTAGATTCCGTCCATATTGTGACATTATTATGGTCACAATATATCATTAACCTCAATTATATATGGACTGCGACGCCTTGTAATGAGAAACTTCAGCTGAGCGGTACATGAAGAAAGTGGCCATAAGGCCGGAGACCTCTTCGCGGTAGCCTTGGATTTCTCTCACAGCAGTAAACCGAGTGAGCTACACTAGAATCCTGAGACAGCTGTTTACCTTGACCGCAGCAATGATAAAGTCAAGGTGCAGTGTGCAGAACTCGCTCGGGGAATCTGGTTCTAACGAAGCAAAAGCATGGGTGGTTTAGCAATGAAGCCACCAAGAATTAATCGTAGGGAAAATACATGAGTCGCATCCAATATTTTTTCCCTCTATCTCTACTGAATACGTAGAGCAGAACGGAGAACGGTAAAGTTAGCACGTTCTGCAAAAGTCACTATAGCAGGGTAAAAGTGTCAAAGTATGATAGGTTTAATAGAAGTAGAGAACGCCGGCGATGATGTACTGCACTGACCAAAGTAAGTCAATGGCCGGAAAAAGCGCTCCCTCAGGGTAATATAAGTGTCATCGGTTTTACGTTAATTTGGAAACGGCAAAAGATTAGAAAAACTTTCACTGGGTCGACGGTGCAGTTGAAGCTAAAAAAGTGACGCATTTGTCCTATCCCTGTTCAGTCCAAGCTTTAACCAGTTGATTTGACGATTCTCGATCCTAAACGATGGCCACCACACCCTAGCATTACGATAGCTTCCAAACGGACGGATCGGAAATCAAAGTTAGTTTCTGCCCATTTGTATTCAGAGTGAGATCCGCGTGACAAAACGATCAGACCACTGGGACGAACCTGAAGACTAAGGACTGCGGAACACTGAAAGGAAACTGACGACTGGGTACGTGGGTACACCTCCCGCGACAGATTTAGCGGTGGTGACAGTACCACCATAAGACGAAGCTTATCGGTTTCGTTGAAAAATCATACTACTGATAAGCAAGTAGTAGCATACAGTTGCCATAATACGACTCAAACACATGGCTAATGCACACGAAAGCCGATGAATGAAACCTGAGGTAATGGACAAACAGGAAACGAAAAGCCTCGAAGGGAATATGAGAACACCAATTACTCGTAGGCGTGAGTTATGAATAAGAAGAGTTTATCTGAAAGCCGCAATTGGAGGTAAAAGCTATGTTCGTGCTAGCTTGGTCGTGACCCATTGAGTTATCTGGTGATTTCGATCTAACTCGAAGTACTATAGTGAAAAATTGTGAAAAATCACTGACCTATTTGGCGAACTACAATACAGACGTTTTCTTCCACTTTGGAAGTCGGTTCGATTCGCTCGGGATGGATGGGATGAAAAGCCGGAGACGGATCGTTTCCTTGCCGAGGAGCGTCTACTACGAGACTTAGCGTGCCTGCGTTCAGTAGTCTCTTTGCGCCCCTGCTGCTTTCCAACTGGAGTGTGTTCGTTAGTTGCGGACCCACGAACGCGATGTCCAACGAACCGGTGCTTGTTCGTTACTCGTATTTCTTCACTGTTCGGTGTGACAAGACAGTTGTGGGGGGCTATGGGAGAGCGGTAAGAACTAGTCGGATGCTGGGAAGCTGAAATTCTGAGTTCCAAGTCCGATTCAAACGGTTCGTTGCTGCTGATTATCTGTTTTTTAAAGAGTAACAAACAATATCCCTTGGAGACACCAGGAATATGGAGAAAAACAATATGAATATGATCGAGTAGTAACCGGAATTCAAACAACTCACACAATTACGGAACTAGTGGGTAATGCAACACACAGTTCATTCTACAATCATCCATCCACATCATCATAACCATAATCATCATCAGCCGTGAGAACCACGTACTTGGCGGACAGTGGTTATAGCTGCCACCGTTTCGTTCATCGATGATTTCGAGAGACGGAGTGAATAGTTGTGCACTGGAGGCGGTAGCTGATATAATAGGTGCGTAAATACAAGGTTGTCAGTGGACTTTTAAGTGGGGAGATTTGGAGGGGAGCTACGCATAATTAGGATGCACGATCACCACTAAAGGCGCGACTGAGTCATGTCTCACAATGTCTAACCACTGACGTGTCCCGTCTTGGGGACAAGTGATTACAAGTGATCACTGCCAAGTGATTTTTTGACCTCCCCTCGCACATGGTTGTGCGAAAAGAGCCCTTCGATGAAGTCGGTAGACTGGCCAACAGAGCACGTGACCAAGCCAGCGCGATCTATGGAGTGTGATCAATTCATCAATCGTGGGCAAGTTATTTTTGCCGAAAACCATTCGACGTAGTTGAGCGTTACTGATCCGGTGTTCCACCAGACTCGGGCAACGCTCTGCATACATTGATGGTCTTTTAAGTCTTTTAAGGTCCTCAGCGCACAGCGGCCAGGTTTCTGACACGTATAACAATTGTGTAGTAATAATAATAATAATGACAACTGGGAATTTCGTTCATCTGCATCTTCAGTAGCAGGGCATCTTGTTCCCACACACCTAAATCGGTACAGGATTAGCTCACATAAACTGAAATTAAAGATAACCAGTTTTGAACGGAAAACAAGGGACTGTTTCTTAATGAGTATGGTGGTTTCTGAAGACAAAACTGGTGATTATTGTGGTATACTCTTGAGGACTATAACAAGCCGCCTGCGTATTGCACTTATCAGTTTCCAAAAGTGAGAGAGCTAACCCGTGACCAGGAAGAAAGAACTCGGTGAAACCTATCGAAGGTAATTTGCACTTTTACGTCGCACATATTTTGTGTGAAAACTCTAGGTAGACAACCAATATATTAGGAAATGTTTTGGGTCACAGTGAGGCAACCAAACTTTTGTTGATGTTCATTTACCAGCATTACCCAAACTAAAAATAATGGCATATAACTCAAAAGCGTCCTTCAATAGAATCCCGTCGTTTATCTGTTTTTTGGAGGTATTAGCTCGCAAATTTCCATCGTCAATGGGGACACCGCGGATCATAATTTTGAACCATCAGTCACTTTTCGTAAGCCATGCTCATTTTACATTGCTATCCATTATTACGTTGATTCGCCTTCTTCCATGTATTCTGTCTGCCTGTCTGTTTGGTATACGCGCTGCGTCTCATAAACCTGCGAGAGCTCACGGAGTCAAGGAGTGATCAGAAGATCCCTGTTTCGAAACCAATTTTCGATTGCTCCCATCCAGGTTTTGCCAAGCTGGCAACAATTAAACTTCCGTAGCTTCTCCAAGCTGCTAGCAGCTACAGAGGTCAGATAGGGGATTCTTTGGGTTCTCTGAATGCCAATACATCCACAGCCGTCTATTTTTAGTCTCGAACAAGTAACACTCCGCCAATTAGTGATTTGATTCACATCCTGTGGTAGACTTGAAGATTCTATGGTTCTAACCGGATCAACTGCTTCCATTCCCGTTAGTTACTACGAGAAATAGATGAGAGAATCGGTCGGCTTGATTTTCAAACTTTCTGCCAAGGAGTCACATCCCTCTCTCTCTCCAAGATATAGCCGGTTAGTCAATCTACCTGCTGTTTACTCAGCTTGGGTGAAAAGGGAACGACGTGAAATAGCAATGTTAACCTTGTTCCACAAGACACTGGAAAGCGAACATCTTTTAAGTGGTTTCGCGCTGTATGATTAGGGCTTAAAGCTTCTATTACTAGGCAAAACACTGATGTGTGCTGAAGTTACCACGTCACCTTTTTTATCTTGATCGCCGGGTCTTCATATTAAGGGTTCGCCCTATGCAGAACTGAAAAACCTCTGTCTTCCTATCAAGTGGATTAAATTAATACCTAAGTGTTTAAAAAACTCGTTCAACGACCAGAGAAAAGCTCAAGGAATTCAGGTATTCGCTTCGGAAGGGACCATCCCACGGATGTCCCTTCCTAACGGAATCACAAAAACCGATTACAAAAAGTGAGAATTTTCTTTTAGAAATCGCTGCCTTGACCTGTTTTATACAGCAGGATCTACACATTTCGAGCTGTTCTTAAGTGCAACCGAGTCACAGGTCACTTAGTCGGGCCGAAGCACCATAACTAAATCAGCTGGACATGGACAAGAATAAACGAGCATCGTAAGTGCAACGTAGATTGGCGCGAGCGTTGTCTCAAAGAACCATAGGGAACTACAGGTTGAGACTATACTATTGGAGCCGCTGGCCCGAATGGGAAGGGAAGGAAAAGAGTGCTCATTGCAACCAGCGGCAGGGCTTAGCAACATTTCGTCCTTGTACCTCGCATACTGTGTGCACGAACAAACCTAACCAAACATCAAGACAACCGTGTTACAATGAGAGCTATTCCAATTGTAACGTGGGAAAGTGGTTTTGCATCATATTACGGATCATTATACAGCCTCTTCCCATCACAGTATGCTTCAAAACGTGATCTCTGTTTCTAGCTAAAAGGTGATCACTCAAACGTCCTAAAATTCATTACACTTCAAGAGACGGAGTGGTTTCTGTAGACAGGAACAACAGTTAGTGTGAAAAGGAGTGTGTACATATAGGGCTGAAAGTAAGCGAAAACAATGAGGAGGCAGATGCGCTAGCTATCAAGCAGAGCATAAATGGAATCCAGCCGCTGCTCTGTTCGAGGGGGGTGGTAAGAACAATCAGGAGGTAAAAAGCGTGAAAGATGAAATCACAAACGGTCCATATTCATTCGTTTCATGCTGCGTAGAAACAACAAGCGCGGTGTTCTACACGCTGCGTCACGATACAGAAAATGTCACATTGTTTGTACTACTAATTGCAGCAGCTGAGAATTCAGATACAAAGAACGCTGTCAGGTTGCAAAGCGTCTTCTGAAACGGGATCAGGATGAGCGCGGCCTTGGTTGTAGCCCGTAGCCGCTAAACCTCCGTAGATACCAGAATAATAAGCAGCCTACACAATCCTTCAAATTACGCAGCCTTGTCATGGAGGAGGCAGCGTGAACTCCTCCTCCTTATGAAAAAGTCAAGTTGATGCATCGGCGAACCCTTTGGTAGCACAGCCATCTAGAAAACGCAATGTGCCATATTCAGAAAATTCAAATCTGCGAATTTGAAAATATGAGCCAAATAAAATGCTGAACTGAAAGTAAGTGCACACTTTAAATTCCAGCCAAGGGTCCCATCTCGCTTACAACGGTCTAAAACCTCAAACATCGTTGTGAGCTTGGCGCTGCTGAGGCTCAGTTGGGTGGCCGTCCAAGATTACACAGTAGACAGGCGGCAAGTATGTGCGGAAAGTGTTGCAGGTGGTCGGTTTTATCCGACTTTTTTCAGTTACGAAACTGATGCTTCCACTTTCCTATCAACCATGGGACTGTTTTCAGTTTGTAGACTGCATTGCGAACCCAGAGTAGTGAACCCGTTTGGAGAATCAAAATTTCGTAATACATATAGAGGGATAAGTATACTGGAAATGCTGTAAAATCCATGTAACCAACTGAAAGACCGACAACAAATTGTGGACTGGTAAAGCAATCACACGAAGCCACTGGTCACGTGTATGGACCCGTTGTTGAAGAAATCGACCAGTTCGACATAGCTAACCACATGAAGCAATGCCACAGGGATCAAATGTTGCTAGGTATGAGAAGAATAAGAGAAGTGGGAGGTTATCGGACCAGTCGGTGAGTGCGCGAAGCCCACGCCACAGGTTAAAGCTCCGTCGAAAAGCTTGATGTGGCAGCAACAGGCAGCAAATGCCCCCACGGTGCACTTTAGGCCTGGTTTTCGGTGAGCACTAGGGCAATGAATTCATAAGTACCCAACCAAGCAGCGCTTTACACAGCTACTTGCAGATGATATGTAGTCAATAAGCCAATAGGAAAGGTTCTATGTGGAAACACGAGCCCAATGTCGGTGTGGGCTGAAAAAAACGATGGAGACACACATGTCTTTACCGTGCCTAACCACGTTTCGCGTCAAATAAAGCCCAAGCTTAGTTCTTCGCACGAGGAAGTTGCACTTAAGATTCACCGTTGCCAGAGAAGAAATGGGATCTGATGACGAGGTACGAGGACCTGTGGGTGCCCACAAGCAGAGATTCCAGATAAAAAATCGTTTGCTGCCACTGTGTTAAAGGGTTGTCAGTTGCAGCAAGCAGCGTCAAACCTAGGTAAAAGGACTGGTACACAAGTCTGTGCCAAAAAATAAGGGATACGGATCACTTTTATCAGACAGCAGGACTATTGCTGTTAGCTGTTTTGTTCAGGCAAGAAATGAGAGTTCCTTACACAGAATCGGACGATATTTGAAGGGATGTGGTGAAACCTACTGTAGGAATAAACAAATTGCACGAGGTAGCCCATAGGTATATCCTAAAATACGTTGTAAAAGGCAACCGAGTTAACACCTACGTGCTGTCGTTGATGATGATGATGATGATGTAAAAGGCAACCGAGTTAACACCTACAGAGATTTATCTCTCGGCCTTACAAATCCTTAAATTAGTCATCCTCATTAACGTCACCAGCAGAAATACTCGCGTTGAACATCGGTTGAATAAAACCACTCAATGAAAAGGAGAAAATAGGATAGGAGCATAGGGTTAGCACACCACAGGTATCGGGACTATCTCCATATTCAAAGAATAACGCATGTGACTTGGACAGAAACAGCATCATGTGTGCAATTGACTCGATTCGCAGTCATAACTTTCTGAGTTTACAGCCACACACAAAGAGGCCGTATAAACCCTATTCTAAAGAATTCAATGAACGATACCGCTTGTCGTGACAAGACCGTCTCCGATGAGAGATCAAGGGAGATGGTCGGAGTCAGTACTAGTGACCTCGACAAAACACCCTGGAGAAGTCGGTTACATCGTCAAAATTTCTACTTAAAGATTTGAAGCACAATAAGTCCAAAACCAAACAAGGCTACGAAAATCTATTTTACAATCACTGTTGGGGCAAACACTAGTTTTGACGGTTCTGTCTAACAGATGCAAACGCCATTAGTATTCACAAATGAACACTGAGATTCGCAGGACTTCCGATATTTCCCATCCAGTTACAGTCGCTTCAAGGAACAGTGATTTCCTTCAACAACGTTGAAACAGAGTATCTGGTCTGTCTGCAGAGCGGCCATTCTTTGACGGGATGACGGCGAACGTTGCTATGGATTCTGAGATTAGTGGGGCATCGAATGTTAGTGGTCATAACTAGGACATTTTGTTTACAATGATGAACAGCAGGAGACGGTATGAACTCGCATACACAATACGACTAGACTTATGGACCGGTGAAAACAGAGCGTTTCTTGTAAGTACATCACTCAATCAACTGAGCCACCAACTGTCTCTGTTAATCCATTTCCTCATAATCAAAGTTATATGGGATTATGTTCTGTCTAGCGGCAACCGATGGCAAGTCAGACAGGGTAAAGCTGTCCCGCTGGGCTTCTTTGATCCAGCTATCATTCCACTACACATTAATTCTCGTTGAATTCAGATTGGAAAATATCTTTCTGTCCAAAATCTGAATCTAACCATGTCATATCCCAACGTCGATCATCACTGGTATCCAGCTGGACGCCTGCAGCTGCATTAGTTAGCGCTTAAGAATGAGTTGTGCACTTCCTCTGAAAGATTTAAATCAATTACTGGCTGTAAATTATGACCGACCCAAATACTTCGATAACCGCCTAGCGCACTCCCCGAGTGATTTCTGGCAGGCGATTTAGACTTAAAAAATTCGCTAGCGGATCTTCGCATTTAGTTCGCTCGAGTTACCCTATTGCACCCTCTGAGAACTGAAGCTCTCATTCCACTTTTGGCGGACACTGTCTTTTTTATGTCATAGATGAGGATGGCTGCATTCACAAGCTGTCGATGGATTTTTCTCGCGCAACCTTGATCTCGACAGATAGCAAAAACCTCTTCGGCAGAGCGGCTAGTAAAGTCGCCCTGTTGTCGAACAGCGGGTCCAACAATACATTTAAAAAATCGTCCAGCTGTAGCACCCGTTCGGTGCCTAGCTGCCATGCCACACGAAGGTACGAGGGCTGGGATACTGCCAGGTTGCCCAAACCTAGAAAGGGGAAGTCGTGTGGCAGAGGTCGGGTTCGAACCACGGACCTTCCGGTCAGTAAATTCGCGCTCTAACCACTTGGTCCAACAATAGAGCCGCGCGTTCAACAACGATCTGATAACTGCTTGCAGCGTCTTGGTTCGTCTTGAATCGATAGACGGCTGAGCAAAAGGAGCCCTCTGGAGTGAAAATGGATGTCACCAAGCTATCTGTATTGGGAACACAACCTACAGCTTATAATTATGCTAGTTTCACGTAAGCAAACATATGGTAGGCATACAGTAGACATACGGCAAATATTCGTCAGTGAAAGACAATTGGAAAGTTGACTTACGGATCGTAAGTTCGTGTCTGCACTACAAAGCACAAGTATTAAAACTACTACAAGTGTAGAAACTTACGTTGTAAACGTGAATTCCGAAACAGGTGTGATCTCATTAGACTTCCGCGATCTCTTACGTTTACCAGCCATAAGGGACCTCCAACAGCCTTGACATGCCAGGCCTCGAAGGGGGCTAAAATATAGCATATGGGCTATCGATCAACAAATAAGATAGATTCAACTGTTCAGCTGCGGAATATTTTCAAAGTACAGTTGCCATACAAAGGGACAGAGACAGATGAATTTGGATACTGCTCAGTCCCTGTGATCGACCAGATTCAAACTTGGTTGGGGTAGATCACTTTCACAATGACAGTCTGGAAATGGGGTTTACAAAGTTGAAAGACCAGTGTTTCACAGGTACGTTCGCCGTCTGCTTCTGGTTTACCCTCAAGGTGAACTCCGAGTTTGCAGCGAATCGTTATGTAAACTTGAGTTTTGACCAGTCATAGAGTTCGGTTCCTGACCGAGACTAGTGAATAGTTGCCAGAACAATAGTAGTAAATAATAACCGCTCAGCTTTAGAACTCTTTCGGTGCCTAGATGCCACACCACCCAAGAGAAGCACGACGGCTGAGATACTGTCAGGTTGCCCAAGCCTAGACAGCTGAAATGCAGAGGTTGGGTTCGAGCAGCGGACCTTCCAGTCAGTAAAATCGCGCTTTAACGATTGAGCCACCTCGGTTCCTATAGGTACCGGGAGTAGTGTATGGTTTGGTGCTACCTGGTGACTCTGCTCGTCACTTGTCGCATGGACAGATAGACCAGAACTTTGGACTCAAGGCAGATCTTTGACCTAAATCATAAGTCAGCCTCAGTCATAAGAATGCTGTTCCGGCATATCTTCAACTCATCCTTTGCTTGGGCGTTCGGTAAGATTGGATACGGGTGCTATCACAATATCGATGCTCCTAGACTGAGCAGAGGTTCGGAGTTCATCGAGTGTGCGGAATGCTCCGGTCTTAGCGGTGTTGGTTTCGAGACCGAGTTGAGAAGTGTTCCGCAATCCAAGTTGGTTACAGTACAACCTACCCCAGCTATCACCACCATACCAGACCAGGTCAGATATGCGGCTTTCCGCCGTAATATATGCGCCCGTGTTTCCTATAAACTTCAATTATCATACGACAAACGACAAAGGAACAAGGACTAGGGATAAGAAGCCCCTTCGGTGTATTGCAGTGTGTGGGGATGGATCATAAAAATTTACACCATATACTTGAACTTTAGCCTTGGCAGAAAAGCAAAATCACACAAAAAAGTAGAATTGGAGCATCAATTAGCCTGAAATACTGCACAACAATGCCTCATCATCGACAGCATGACATCAGTGTTCAACACAGAAGCTTCACTGTACAACAATGCGGTCAGTCGGGTTGAAAGCGGCTCGAAAGCAGTAGGTTGGAACTTGAATCGATATTAGAAAAGCAATCCGGCGAAAATCCGACGAAGTCTTTTTTGGTGGAATCCCCCATAGCCAGGTCTGATGAGCGCATACGGAAAAGTGAAAATCGGATTGAGCTTAATATTATGGATGTTACCGCCAATGCTACTGCTTTACTGGTCGCCGCACACTGGTCATGGATCGTCCCTTTTTTCAAGATAAGCAGCAGGGCTTAATCCGCCCAATAGGACGAGAATACTTATGTTTCATTAAGAACTGAGGAATATAGACGTACTCGGATTGTTTATATTATATCGAATGTCACTTTCCAACGTGCCTCCAGTTTGTTGAACGAGCTAGATGATTTCATCCCCTGATGGATGCAGTTGATGCATATAGTAACGATATGTTGGTGGAACTATCAGGAGGAGTATTATAAATTGGCTAAAATATTCCGCTACCCTGGTGAGTTTATCATTGGGATAATGCCAGGTTGTCCAAGTTTAGACGGGGGAAGTCGAGGTAGAGGTCGGATTCGAACAACGGACCCTGCTGCCAATAAATTTGCGCTCTAACCACTTAAACCATCTCCTAAAGTGCTCAGACGATCTTGGGACTGACACCACGAAGGTCAGTAACGCCATTTTCTAACACACAAGAGCTATGGTTTTCAGACAACGGCTGTCAAACACCTGAAGACATCTCAGTTCCGCTGCTCGAACAGGACTAGTCTCACAGTCATACAACAAAACAGCCCGTACTGCTGCCTGATACACACGTCCCTTGAGATTCAGCGGTATATCGTTTTGACAAGTAGGTGCATTAAATTAGGTAACGCGATCCGAGCCTCGCAGATTCGTGCATTGATCTCATCTGTCACAATACAGTCAGAACTAATACAACTTCCATGATATGTAAAACGCTCCACAACTTTGAGGACCTCTCCCTGGATTGTAAGGGGCTGTTCAGGGGGCTGTCCACGAACATGGCCATACACTCTGTGGGTGCAAATTGCATACTAAATGACGGGATGAATTTGGTCAGTTCATCCTAAGACACCTGCACCTTCTTTTTTCTGGGGCAATCTTTTACCAAACGCAGCCAAACAGATCAGACAAGCACCAACCAGAGACTCCACTCCCACTCATGAACAATCCGGGTGGAAGGTCATCCGGAGCAGGGGCTCGATAACACTTAATGGAACAATGTAGTCATTAACCTCCAAGGCCGTAGAGGGTTCCAGATTCACCATCCAGGGTTCCACGTCAGCTATAGACTCCAGATAACTGGCAGCGGGTGGACACGATTATCGTTGTTCCAAAAATTCGGCCCAACGGTCAAAGCTTGCTTCTTTATTCAAGATCGCGTCGACTTCATCTCTGGTGATTTCGCTCACAGGCGGTTTCCAGGGTTCATTCAAGTAGTTCAACTGAAATTATCCTCGGATATTCTCGGCTTCCTAAGCCCCTTCCATTTCATTGAGTATTGAGTCCACCAGATTTCACACTCACTTTCACTTGATGTCTAATAATTTGTCAAGCAAAGTTATTTTAGCGACCGGCGGGGACATTTCTCCCAGGTTCGAGCAGTACCACTGTCCTGTCTGATATGCAGTGCTTGAGCTTGCCTTGCCAGGGGCAAAAGTCCCACCATTGTGCAGTGGCGATGTTGCCGCAGTATGGAGCCATATTTGATGGTGAAACAATCGGAAAAAATCGCTCAGCTTTAACACCCTTCCGGGGCCTAGATGCTATGCTACCTGAAGGAAGCACGAGGGCTGGTTTACTGTCCAAGTTTAGACAGGGGAAGTCCAGAGGTAGTGGTCGGGTTCGAACCACGGTCCCCCCGGTCAGTGAATTCGTACTTTAACCACTTGAGCCATCTTGCCTCCATCTTCCGGAAGTTGGAAGAGGCTCCAGAAGATCCTGGTAAATTCGTCTAAAATGCGAGTCTGCTAGTCTCTCAGTTGCCAAACAATCTGTCCGTACTTTACATGGCCTTAGAAAACTAAGGGAGAAATGACTTCGGACGAGCGCGTGGTCGGAATCCACAAATGTGTACCAAAACTCGTGGCAGTCAGTTATTGGTCCGCGCCATCGAAAACTGATGGCAATGTGGCCAATTTGAGTTCATAGGCGGTTCGCCGTTGGAGGACATTATGTGGCCAGACGACTTCGGCTGCTTCGGAAGATAATGCTGCATACAAAGTCTGCGGTCAGCACACAGCTGAAGCAATCGTTCGCCATTGTCCTTACGTACCCATTAAATTGAGTCGCAGACGCACTAGAGCTGCCCACTTGTGTATTTAAATCTCCAGCAACGACAAAGGTATCTGAGCTTCTAGGTCGCCGCAACAGGGCAATCAAGGCGTTATACAACTTGTCTTTGATGGTATCAGAGCTAGTCGGCTGGGGCGTAAGCTGACTCGACAAACGGGTAGCGATCAACTTTGCCCTTGTGAGACTTTCACAGACGCTGCCAGACGAACCGGACACAGGTGACTATTAGCGGGTGTCCAGTCAGGCAAGGATCATTCCAACGGTAAATTTGGAAGATAAAAATCCCTCCACATCCTGCCGCACCAGCCTCTGGATCATCAAAGGTGCGCGGCCGCAAGCGAGTGGAGTGAAAAAGCAGTTGGAACAATCGTTCTGCTTGCATCTTGAACCCGAGCTCTGCGTCTCAACATCCTGTCCAGGCTTAGGCAACCTGGCATTATACCAGCCCTCGTGCTTCTTTCTGGTGACATGGCAGCTAAATACCGAAAGGGTAATACAGCTGAACAATTTTTTCGAGATCATCCGGACCAGTAGGAGGTGGCGCTCAAGAGGACATAGACAACCATAAACCATCGAAGCCGCAGGAGGTCCCAGATGGGTCCCAGAACCCGTCCAGGGTTATACTTCGGTTGAAGGATCCAAATGAGTGTCAGCAGGTGGCCACAAGAACTGTGTAAAGTGCTCGGCCCGGTGATTTAGACGTCCTTGTTCATTGAAGATGATCGCACCACTTTAATCCTTGATAGCTTGGTTCATCGGTGGTTTCCAGCAGTCCGTCGCGGGGACTAACTGAAATAATCTTCGGGCGTCTCGGGCTCCTCCAAGAGATAGAGAGTATATGAAACAAACTGGCACCCCGATAAACAGTACTGGAACCAGATTTCGGTCCTTTGACTGCTATATTCCTCACAATCCACTTTAAATAAGCAAATGGAAATGGCCCATTTTTTCGACAGTATTTTCACACATGAAAAGACATTCATCTGAAGAATATCGGGCCTCTCACGCTATTTCTGTCAAAAGAAAATAGTTCAGCTCCCATAACATTGGACGGAAGCACGAAAGCCGAGATACTGCCAGGCTGTTTGAGGCTAGATAGGGGCAGTCGAGATGCTGAGGCTCGGCTCGAAACACGAACTTTTCGGTCCATTAGCCGGCTCCCTAACCACTGAGCTATCTGTCGATGGGTTTGCGTATTTTGCCGACCGCATGCCTAAGCACACCTTATAAAAGGCTACTTTGACTTCCATTTAAAACTGCTGCAATCTAAAATTTCGTAAAGGACACGGTACCACGAAAAATTGGGTGTCATACGCTCATTGTGTTCCTGGTTGAAATTCATTAGGTTGATATTGCAGTTTCCTTTCTGATAGTTGCACGGCAGTCAAGTGCCAGTATTTGCTGCTAATCTGCTGTTGTTGATGATGAAAGCTGGTTTTAGGAAATGTTTTTCGCTAATTTCGTGCAATTTGAGTCTAAATGGAACATAAGGTTGACGGTAACTCGGGGACTGCGCCTTCTTGATGATCCTCAAGGGCGAAACTGGTCTTGGGCTGTTAAGGAGTTTTCAGAAACGTTGGGAGTAGTTTCCTTTATGGTTTATTTGTCTTGTGGAAAACGAGTGACCCTCCACCTGTTTCGGATGCTTGAACTTGGAAGTGATTACAGCCGGAAAGTAACCGGACCGTGAACAAACACTTGACAATAAAACGATCCTTCATTCACTTCTAGGGATCAAAAGTGAGGACACGGTTCACTGCAGAACATGCATTACTGAGGATCATCAGTGAAGCTACCTACTTTGGGGGGCCTTCATTCACATTACATGTACTCGGGTTATGTATTTGCGAGATTTTAGCAGAACTCCCGAGAAGGCGAAACACAATGCTCAATTCAAGTGCTCCTATGCTAGTACTTGAAGGGGCCTTGGAGGCTTGGACAGCATGTTTCCTGGAAGCGGCATTTCTTTACGAGTGGCAGCGGTCCCCATGCGAAGTTATTAACAGTGGATGGCGTACTGCAGTGCTTAGTCGACTTAACCGACCCGTATATTACGAGAATTTCTCGAACGGCTGACTCACATTGGCTTCTGCTTGTGAAAGGCATCAGCATATGGGGGCCAAACGAATCCTGAAAATGCTGCTCGACTGCAACAGTAAGCGGAGTGATAACCGACTATCAGAAGTGCCCGCACTTTCATACCGTGTGCTCGTGTCTCGTTCATATGCAGTCGGCCCCACGAGACCGGAGGTGACTACCTTCATCATTAGCTGTAAGACACAACTGACCGGCTATTGGAGGTTATCGCATGCTATGGACGCTACGTCAGCGTTTCACGCCTTGCAACTTAAGGAATGCGGAGACTTCTTGGAATACGGTATACCGCCCCAATTACAAAAATGAAAAATTCTAAACGGAGAATAGACAAAGACCAACCACCTGGATATTGCCGGGATTTGCGGTTATAGATGCTTCTAAGTAGATTCGTACAGCTTTGAGTACGACGGAAGATGCTCATCGATCCGGTTTGCATCCAGACCGCGAGTCAAAGGACATTACTGAGCGGATTTTCCCAGTACGGTAAACATTGTTCACAAGAATACTTTTATTAAGCTGTAAAAACACCTTACAGCGGTGGCTCTATCCCTCTACGCTGACCGGCACCCTACGGAACGGGCAACAAGAAAAACACTATCACGGCATTGGAAACTACCCCAGATACCCAGTTCTCCTCCGGAAACCTGGAATTCCGAGTCAACATCGACATTCCCATTAATCCGGATCCTGAGCTTCATCCATCTGAAGCCAACTCCAATAAAGTGAATGCGTTGGACCAAACTAACACAGGCCAGATTCCATTCTACTCTCAAACTTCCGGGCCCAAACCTAGTGGCGACCAACTGAGCGACGAAGCAGCCCATTGCACGACTAAAGTTTACCACCCTAGCAAGGTGTCTTGGAAGTTCACTGATCGATAGGACTAAATTCAAGTCAGTTGGTTTCTCCGTGATGGTATTTTGCATGAAGTAGTTCGACCATAGCATGAATGCCACTTTAGTACGAGGATTGAGATGATTCCAGGTTTCCGAAGCCAGACTGCACTCGAGGTGCGGAGGCTGGGTTCGAACCACGCACCATGTGGCTCGCGCCCTAACCACAGGATACGGTTAAGGGAAAACCAAGTCAGCCGACAGCAGGAAAAACTTGTGGACCACAAAACAGCTCTACGGTCCATCTTATACAGGATGGATGAGACTGGTTGTGTGGGACTGGTTGCTGATCTGGAATGCAGATGATGAGCGGAAAACCTAGGCCTTGGGAGTTCTTCTACTGTCCATCCAAGTGCAGCTCAGCCAACATCATTCCTCAGATCGGGACTTTACACCTGTATGTTGCGCTACACGAAATACCGCAGAAATGGCGCTAAACAAATCTTTTTATCTCCGCGTGTAGTGTACGGCGCCTGTTGGTTTGATTGATTCCTAAGTGTTGGTCATGTAAAACCTCGCTTGCTGGGCTACGACCCTTTCCTTCTGTTATGTATCCACTGAACCCCTACTTCCGGAGAATCACTGCCCCCTGATGCTCCATAGCATACATACTACACCGCCACAAGTGACAATTAGCCGAACTACTTAATCGGGCTTTAACCCGTTAACTTTCCCTCCACAAATGAAAAATGGCATGGGGAACAAACTCTCAGAGAACTGCTCTTCTACAGAGTGCGCTACACAGACAGTAGAAGCATACCTCACCAAGACTACCGGCGGCCAAAACCTGAGACAACAAAGGGACAGGCGACCAGATCAGCTGACTAGCGCTAGTGAAACCGAGCCATTTGGTACAGTCAAACAAAGGTAACTGAATCCATGTTGAATGCGCACGCAGGTCGTGCGATATACGAGTTAAAATTCGTCTTCCAAACTATCTTCAGCTGCCACATGCCCCGATCTCCACAACGATTTCTTAGATTGTTTCGGTTCGCCTATGTAGTGTCTGTAATCCGTTGTCACATTTACCATTCTTCCTGAACTTGAACCGCACTTTGTAACTGTCGCTCACATTGTATCATGACGTTTGTTTTAATGTTACGAATACAGTTTTTCTTGGCGCGACTTCCCTGCTTTTTGCTGAGTCAGCGAAATTGCATCCGATTGAGCTGATTGCTGTTTGCTGAAGTCGTGAGATTGGATTATTGTGTTTGTGTGAACTGTTGAACGTCACAATAACTCCTTGTGAC